TATACAAAAGTGAATATTAGGAACTATATTTATCAAAAATTATACTGGGCAAGTAAAAATCCTAAACGTCAACCCCTGAAAAGGATTACACAACGAGGTCCCCGGACCTTTGCTGGGTGATGATTTTTCTTTATTCGAACCCTACTGATTTTTAATTGGTTAATCCTGCTCTATGCCCTAACCACTAGGCCGCCCCTCCCCTCTATGCCCCATCAGATTCAGAGTTTCCTAATTTTTTCTTTCCTAGGTTGGGTTAAAGCGTTATAATGGAGCCGGCCTGCCGTAAGGACAAACCAAAGCTGAACTCGACCCCGACCAGAGGAGACCGAGCCAAGCAGAAGTCTGCACAACAGGAGCTCAAACAGCGACAGAGAGCAGAGGTATTATACAGCCCCCCCCTTTTGCAACGGTGTTTCAGTCGTTTGGTTTTTAATTCCTGATTGTCTCTGTCTCGTCTTCAGATATATGCTTTGAACAAGGTGATGACAGAGTTGGAGCAGCAGCAGTTTGAAGCCTTTTGCAAACAGATGCAGTCCCAAGGAGAGTAATGGCAGCTTTACTTCCTCCTCCTACGTTAGGCGTGTTGTTCCACCCAACCGGCACAATCTTTGGACTTGAACTGTTACGGACATAAACTGGCTGCTGGGACACTAATGATGCTTTTCTTCAGGTGCTGATTCTGTATTTCTGATGTTTTATTGCTCCATTCCTTCCATATTTCCTTCCCAGTTCATGGGGAAACCAGTTTGTATTTATTGCCGAGCCATTATTTATTTAGTTTTTCTTTTTCCTTGGGTCATTCTGGGGAATTCTTATGATAAATACATTTTCTTTAGTCGACTCTTCTTAGCAGAATGTCTTTGACTCAGTCAGGTTGGATAAAACAAGCATCAATCGAAGCAATGTTTAAGTCTTGCCATAGATTCTTAACCTAAAAAAGGTCCAGACTTTGACTAGGCCATTTGAAGACTTGAATAAACATATTTTTATTGTTTCACAGTTGAAAGGTGGTATTCACTTCTTCTTAAAGGAGAAGTCCGGTCAGCAAGGAATAATCAATGGATCTTTATCTATACCTAAAAGGAATACGTTTGCGGAATTTAGCATTTATCAGTAAAAAAAAATGAAAACAATTTTGGTTGTGTTCACTGATTCGGGGAGCGGCCATTTTTGCCAAAATATAGTAACACTTCACTCCTGACATCTGCCAGTGTAGGTACCAGATCTGCTCAGGGCCCCACCCCTTCTAATGACATCATCAAACGACAACTCCACTTGGACAAACTGTATGGCACAACAAGCTTCAGAATCAAATCTTTTTTGGAGTCTCAACATATGATTACCATTGGTAAAATAATAGCAAATATTGATATTTGCTATTATTTTATATTTCATTGGTGATCTAAAGTAGCGGAAAGCAGAAAACAATCATTGTCAGTCTTGAACGAAAGTACTGCATTCTAAGACTGAGCTCTGCTGATTAACAAGATGACAAATAGTCTCCGCTTATTCTTGTTCTTTTTATTAAGATCTGAGGACAGGAAGGACAAATGGAACATCTTAAAAAATGACTTTCATAGAGATTTTAGACAAATAAAACAGTTATTCTACTTGTAGGAATTGAACAGTTGTTGACACCAATTTAAAAGTAGTGTAGCTTAATCTGGCTAACTGACCAAGCTAAAAGAGGCTAACCTGTTAGCTAGTGAGCACAGCTAGCCACAGTGCTACCCAGCTCTCCCCATTTATATCATGGTCTA